GATGCGTAGTAAGAAAGGGGTAGTAACTTTTTTTTTTTTTTTAATTATTATTATTTTTTTTTCCATTGGTCATATTCTCTGACTGATTTATCCTTTTTTTTTGGTACACCAGGGTTGTCACCCTTCGACCAATTGGACCCGCAAACGAATCATTCAAGGTTGGAAAGAGTGAGACCCCCAAACGAGAGGGTCGTCGGCCTCCGGCGTGTGGCATTGCCAGTACGTATTCCGTTCGGGTTTTTGGAAAATGGTCCCAGAGCAGCAGAATTCCTTTGGAAAGCATTCCCAGACGTCTCATCGGGGCCATAAAACTCAGCTCTTGCAAGAGCTGAGAGGAGTTCTAAGTTTGTTGAATCGCTAGTGACACCCCGGCTTGGCGGCAACGCACTCCGAGTCCGTACCAACTTTGCCGAACTGCCAGCGGCGCAGTGTCCAGCAATTTGGCGGAGATGGCACTGCCAGCTGTTGTGATTTGGTAGCCCGGAGCATCCAAATTTTTAGGGGTGGGCCGTGAAGGAATCTTGCAAGGCTGGGGCTGTGGACTGGCCGTTTTGAATCACCAGTACATCCGTGCGGCCTCTTTTGAACGAGGCGGACTCCCCCTCTGCGCCATGCTTTCCCAAAATGCCAGCGTGGCGTTTTTGCTTTTTTGTTTTGGCCGGCTCTACCAGCCATTTGGCCCATTTTGGTCTGATCGCCCCGTTGCTTCCGAAACTTTAGGAGTGACTCAATCGTTGTGATTCCCAAGTTGGCCGAGCCCATGTACTGGTCTTTTTTTTTTTTTTTTTTTTTTTGGTTCTCTTTTTTTCCTGCATTTTCTCGGTGGTTCTGTTTCTTTTCCCGTATTTTGAGGAGACCTTTTGCCCTTCAACGGACCTTCGGGGCAGTCGTCAAAATTGGAATAATTCAGAGAAAAATTAACATGTCTCCTGCTGTAAAAAAACAAAACGGGGCGTTTTTGAATTGACGTGCCATCAGTTCCGGACGAATCTGGCTACTTACGCTCAGGCCAACTGAAAAAAGCACTAAACATCGGCCAGGTTCGTCCCGAAATGACACTATCACGGCGGCAGTGCCCACCGGCTATTTGTCACAGAACACCGGGGGGGGAGGGAGGGAGAGAGAGAGGGGATCGCCCAAGGCAGCGCTGATGCTGCCATTTGGCACTATAATCTTGGCTGCGTACGTCACAGCGAGGAAGAATCTGGTGGCGTCAACCAATGTCATAGAGAGAGAGAGAGAAAGATAGAGGGAGAGAGGGAGATAAAACCACTTTTGAGCCGCAGCCACATTTCTTCCTCACTGTGCCGTGCCACATGGAGGCCCGCTTTCCACAATCCCTGATCTCTCTCTCTCTCTCTCTCTCTCTCTCTCTCTCTCTCTCTCTCTCTGTGTGCGTATGTGTGTGACGTGACCGTTCGCGCAGAGGAGTCTCTCTGGTAGGGTAACACACACACACAGAGAGAGAGAGAGAGAGAGAGAGAGAGAGAGAGAGATTGGGGATAGGTGGCCTGCCACGCGACGCAACGAGATTCTTCATCCATGTGCCGTGCGCTGCTTGGTTGCCTCCTATGTTTTATTTTTTGAATTGTTGAATCTTTTGTGAGTATATGGGTTTATGCCTTATGGGATTTCATGCTGACGAGTAGGTTCGTGGCCTTCGTGCTAGGTGTGTGGAGAGGCTGCACCAGGCTATTTTTATGAGCTCGGCGCTCGCCCCTTTGCTTACCCTTTTCTCGGTGGACTCGACAATTCGTACTTGACGCCTTATTTTCCGTGTAGCTGTGCGCTCGGTGGCCAAATAGAATTGGTCGTGTGACCATAGCTTGGCGACCCTTTGCCTTTGTCTGTTGCTGCCATCCTCTTCGGTGGAATTGGGAAACGGGCGTCGCTCCACTACTCCGGAAATGCACAAAAGACAATAATCATCGGGATGTATCTTGCCTCGTTCTAGCGGAAGTAGAGTGGTGGAGCGAGGCCCAACATCTCTCGTTTTGCTTGCAGCTGCGGGCTTTGCGATTGGTGAGGGGCGGGATGGCTGGTGGGACGAGTATTCGTCTCCTCCTTGATGGCCGCCTCTACATACGGCCAAATTTGCTGTCGCTGGAGTTTTTGTATTTGGTATTGCGAATCTTTGCGATGATTCCCCTGCTGTGTATAAGTGTGTTGAATTAAGGGGTAATCGGTAGAAGGCGCCCACGCCAAAACCTTTTCGGTTTTGGCCGCCCAAAGTTTAGCCGTTTGGTACTACCGGCCCAATGACTTGCATGAGGGGTACTACAGGCCCACGCGTGGCTCCAAGGGCCCTTACCTGATCATGAATCTGGCGCATAACACCGCCAAACTCATTTTGATGTAAAAGAGGCCGGTGGTGGTAACGCTGATGTATCGAATGAGGGGCACGTACACGATTTTGAAAAAGAAGGGCTCTACCGGTTCATGAATCTGGTGCGGAAACAGCGCCAAATTCTTGAACCCGTAAAAACAGGCCCAGGGAGATTTGGCCACGGCGCGAAGGCGCCTTTCACCCAGGGGAAAGTTGTTTGGGCCGGTAGTACCAAACGGCCGAACTTTGGGCGGCCAAAACCGAAAAGGTTTTGGCGTGGGCTCTTTCTACCAGTTATCTCTTGAGTTAATTTCACCTAATCATATCCTGTCCCTTCTGAACTTGTGAGAAACAAAGAGGAAAGCAAACCTCTCTATTGTATCATCATCATTATAAAAAAGAAAAAATCAATTCAATTAATTGCATATCCTGACCCTTCTGAAGTTCTGAGAAACAAAGAGGGGGAACATTCAACACACGTAGGGTAATTAAGAAGTGTGTTGAGTGTTCCCCTGCTGTGGTTTTTCAGAAGGGATAGGATATGATTAGGATATGATTGGGTGAGATTAGTTTTACTATGATTGTGATCC